GCGAGACACATGATGAAAGGTTTGAGGAAAGTCATGACGAGAGACGTGGCCAGAGTTGCTACGAGAGACGTGACAAATGACGTGACCAAAGGCGTGACTAGAGACGTGACCAGAGACGTATCTATAGAAACGTGACTAGAGTCGTGACGCGAGATGTGACAAGAGTCCGCTTTCGTGTCCGCATTCGGGTTCGTGGCTTCTATCAGGCTTTTTGTGTGTTTTTAATATATATTTTGTTGGGTTGGCACCCCCTTTTTGGTTGGTTTGCGCGGGAACGAAAAGGACAGCCGCGGAAATTCGGGGTTGAGGCGTGTTTTTGAGGGTACACTTTTTTGGCGGATGGCTTACAGGGAAACCAAAACGACACCACTCAGTTTGGCGTCATCCTATTTGACGCACCACGAATTTGGCAGATTTCGCAGGACAATGCGTGTTGAAAAGGGCCTTTCAATTACCTCCTGTCGTGTCTCCCACTTTGGGTGTAACTTATTGCAAATTGTCCACCATACTCATACTGTGGATGGACAAACGCTTCGCACAAGTTGGGATGGATGAAACCCTAGAAAAGGTTGATAAACCACCTTCCACCTGGTGCGAGGCGGATTTGACCATCCACAGTAGGATTTAGAGTTTGGTTGTAAAGAACCCTTTTGCAGCTTGTCAGACAAAAATCCACATCAGGCACCGGTTAGTTCAGACGGATGAACCCCCCATATAAATAATCGGACAAACATGATAAGCTTGCAACATGTGCTGGATTTTGTCTGACAACCTAAAGCAGGGTTCGTTACAGGATGCGTCACGAGCTTAGGAAATCCTCGAAATCAGGGTGATGTCCTAACAATGCCAGAAGGGACCGTACAACCCTACTGTGGATGTTGCCAACCTTTTCTAGAGTTTTATCCAGCCCAACTGGTGCAAAGCGGATTTTGTCCATCCAGAGTATGGTCGCTGTGCAGTGGAGAGTCGCTGCTTGGTTGCGCTGTTGATGTGGTTTCGGCAGGCAAACGATCTGATATTTTTTAGGGAATCAAGCATGAAAGGCCTATGGCTGTGTTTGTCAACATTGTGGTTGCGTAGAGGGGCAACCAAAGGGAAGCAAGCCACTTTGCAGGGTTCACGATTTCGAGACGCAGCAGATGTGTGTGCAATCGATTGTGTTCCTTATTTCCGATTCTTCCTCCACAGATGTCGTTTTTCCTTGACATGTTTCATGGATTGTTCCCCGGCACCGGCTACGGATCTTGAAATGAATACAACAACCGGAAAGGCAAAACCAAAGCGAGGAGCCTAATCCCAAAAGGCGATTCTTCTGAGAATCAATGTGGGTGTGTCTGAAGATAGGGAGACCCCTTTCTCGGATGCTGGGAAATCAGGAAACAAGATTGGGCGCTGCCAAACCTGGTTTTCTTGGGATCATGTTAGCTTTTATCTTGTTCACTGTTCCCGATCTTGGGGCTCCTTGGACATGTAACGCTTCGCAGGAAGCGGGCGTGCTTTCGTGATCTATTTGGCCAATACCAAGGGGCCCTTCTAACCACGAGCTAGTCACCCGTTATCGAGTCTTCAAGCTCTGACCATTTTAGTGGCAATTCACAACAAGGTTGCCAGGATTTCCTGATTGGTTCGGAAACAGAATCGAGGCTGTCCCAGATTCTCAGTGGCGCTTGTTTTGGCTCATGCGCGCATTTTTATGCGAACACGTCCCACGGCCGGGGTAATAACGTACGGGGCACAATTTGCTCGGATGCCTGCTGTTGTGTGGCTTAGTCACAAGTTTAGTCCCGGACACCGTAATCACGCAGGCCGAGACTATGACGTACACTTCAGTTCTGGAAAGACGCGCAGAGGTGGCTGCCACCTTATGTCATGCTAAGAAGAAGGGCGGGCTGAATCCCGAGCGGTGGCGATACTCGCATAACTAACAATGGCGGCGCAACACGTGTGATTGCTTGTAGGAAGCAATGCCGTAGTTGTTTCATGTCCAGAAATCCTGATTGGGCGTTTGCCAGGGTTGTGAATTCCTCCGCACCGTTAGTGGCGGCGTGAGGAGTTGCTTTTTCTTTTAAAGACACCCCCCTAGACCCACCCCCGTTTTCCTTCCATAAGGTCTTTTTCCTGAGTCAACCCCCTCCTTAACTGTTTTGCTGGTGCTCAGGAAGGAATAAGGGAAGGGGATTCCCGAAAAGGAAGCTGTAGGGGATGTTTGTTTCTAGGGTTCCGATTCTCATTCCCTGCCTATCGCACCGGCAAGCCTTCTGGGGGCCTTTCTTGCCAGACCTGAGCACCGGAATCGGCGAGGATGCTTCAGGCAGGCCGTCCTACAAGCGTGTGGCCGGGGGCGGCAACAGGCGCCAGTCACGAGTCACGAGTCGCTCGCTCCGATCGATGGGTAACGGAACCCAGCTCCGTGTTTTTTTCTTCTCCGACGAGAGGTTTGCGCCGAAATTTACCCTCCCACGAAGTAGCGCAGAACCTGACGGGGGGACCCTTTGAAAGGAAAATGATCCAGGACCCCCGGTCAGGTTCCATGTCAATTGGTGGGAGGGTACCATCTGGCAATTCCCATGCGGGCCAGTGGAGGTGGAACCAGCTTTCAGAGGAATCTCCCCATCACCTGAGAGGAGGAACAGATGAGTCACCTAAGAACCCATGGTCTGTTTTTGGAGACTCTTCTCTCCTTTGTCAGAGCCTAATTCACCAAGACTCATTTTTTCTCAGTCTCCTGTGAAAGGATCTACGTCGGGTTGTGGCTCAGGCATGTACTCCTTGTTCAAGGAGACTTCGTCTGGTGCGATATTTGAGGAGGACATATCAGGAGCTTTGAAAGTGCCACAATGGTCAAGGGATCCTAATCAAACAGGTCCTAACCAAGGGGGTCCCGAAAGGACAATCATGCGCAGCACCCGAAAGGAACCCATTTGTAGCAACGCATTTTGGATCACTCCTGAAACCACTGGAATATTCAGGGACATCCCGTTTTAGGGGATGTACGTCGGGTTTGCAGATTAGCATGGGACACCCAACAAAGCCGCAGGTCTCGAGGGAATCTCCCGCAGGGGGGGGGGGGCCCAGCTTTTGCCCGGGCATGTGAACTTGTAGGGAGTAAGCGGATCTTAACGGGGGGACGCGACCCTCCGTACCTCAAAATGCAACCCGGTTTTGGTATTTCCTTGATCCCCGAAGGGAAAACTTTCAATTTGATGGGATCAAGAGCTGGACTGGATAGCCACAATGAGTCTTGCGGTTCCCGGTGTTTCCCCACCACTCATTGGCCAATCAAAGTCGAGCATCAGTAGAACAAATGGGTGATGAGAATAGGTACCCGCAAAACCCCCCCCCCAAATCAATCTGAACAAAACTGAAAAGAAGGGGTCGACTGTGGAGGTCTGGGTTGCAGGTTTGGGTTGGAATTAGGATTTGTAAAATCGGATTGCGAATGTTGGGTGACTCGTTGAATGGGTTGGTTCTAACAAATGGGTTCCCAGACCACCTTCCCCAGAATTAGCTCCCTTTTTTGCATTTTTTGCTTTTTTGGGGTCTGTTTGTTTTCCACTAACCAGGCAAACAAGTTTTTGTTTTTGCTGGGGTCCTAATTCCAGCCAAGCCACCAACAAGTGGGTCCTGACTCGATCAGGCTGAGCTTCTACCCCATAACGGGCAGATGGTGCATCGGCGGCGCGTGCGCGCCGGTGAACGGCGCAGTGAGCCCCGTAGGGTTGCAGGGCCAGGAGGGGAGGGGCTGGGATTGGATGGGGGAGGTTGCGTCACAGCCGCGTTTTGTTTGTTCTTACCCTTGCAAGGTGGGAATGTTTGGGCTGGAATATTCGTGAAGTTGGGGTAACATCCAAACAATCTGAAAAGTTCAAAGGCTCTATGCACATGGCGACTGCCTTTCGCCTACCGTTTCTTCTTTTCTCTTGAATCTGAAAGCGTTCCATGTTGAGTCGAAGCCGGAACTAATGGTAGGACTTGCGTTTTGCAGCCGAAGAGTGAAATGCGTGAGGTCAAACATATGCGTTCGAGTCAACAAGTTGACACTGTTGGCAGTGTCCGTCATTTTGACCAGCCTGGGACATATAGAATCTGAAGAAGTCGAGGCCAGTCGCATCATTTCAACACCCGCTTTGTTCATCCAAAGCGAATCGACCGGAAGTGATCTTTGGGGTCCACTTTTGCCAAGAGGTTCAGCAGTCCTTCAATACACCCAACCCCACTGGAATCGCCTTTGAGCTTTGGGTCTGTTGTCCGTTTAGTTTTTCCTCCCTCCTTCAACGACCTGGATCCTGGCCAAGGAATCCCTGACAAGTTCTCACTGTTTGCAAGTTCCTCCGTTCCAACTCATTTGTCTCATCTTTCTCCCAAAGTCAATAGGTCGTAACCTTGGCTATGGCTGCAATTACTGGGACCCGTACATCCCCTGCTTTTAGCCCACTTACCTGACATGCATCCAAGTATCTACTCCAACAGCACATTCTGCAAGTTTTGGCTGTTCTTTGGCTTTGGTGTACCTTCTCGCCCGGTGAGACCGTTACGGCTTTTTCGAAAGCCTGCGAGAGGTCGCGCACGACCTTTTGCTCGTGCTTGGAGCATAGTCAGGGTCCGTCCAGTTAACGAGGAGCTCCCAGTTGATCATGCTTTGAAAGCCTGTGTGTAATACAATCAGGGACTCCCCCCCAAAAAAAAAACACGGAGCGGATGGTGTTTGTTTTCCTGAGAAGCAGTTGAATAATTACTCCCCTTGACCCCCAAAGAGGTACCCCAGAAGGGTGTGCATGCATGTGATGTTGGAGGCCCCGTTGTTTGCATGAATGCATGTCAAACGGCAATGCCCGTTTGGCTCAAGACCAATGCCCATCATTAAAACAGGGTTTGCGCTCGCCTACCGGACTGGGGTTAATAAGGGTCCCGGTTTCTGGTTCGCAGTGTTTCTTTCCCTGTTGAGTGGTAACTGCTTTTTGGGATTAGGCCCCCTCAGTCCGGTAGTCAGCGCACTTCGTGCATGGCCTTCTCGGCCCGAGGACAAAGGGGCGGGTGGGTTCATCGTCGAAAGCTTTACTACGAAGCTTTCGACGAGCTCACTCGTTGGGCCTGGCGGGAGTTCAAGTTTGGCGGCATGCAAGAAATCGCTTGTTTGGAAAATGGAGGGTAACGTTTGCAAATATGCTGCAAGAGCGATGAGCGCGATGAAGAGCATGCAGAATGCCACTATGCGCAAATAGAAGCGGATGCTCAGGTGGCAAAAGTCCCCTGGGAGGAAGCTTCGGACTTGCATCGGAGCTCCCTCCTAGCGTGGCAATCAGATTTCACCGATCAGAGCTATCGGCATCTGCGGGACATCTACCCCGACCTCTACGACGCCGTCATCGCCGACATCAACCCATCCCACTCCTACAACGGGCACAGGCCGCAGCTCAAGGCGCCGCACCAGCTCAGCCACAACAACCAAGCACCCCATCAAGTCCATCCTCCACAACAACTGTGTCCACAATCAAGGCTGCAGCTCCAGGCGCAGCGGTGACACAGACAGCAGCCGGGCCGGGAGATCAGGCTGCAGCTCCAAGCGCAGCGGCTCCATCCAGAGCTTCAACATAGAGCCCGTCCCGTCCCTCTTCCTATCCGCCTACAACTGCGGCCAGGGGGAGATATGCTGCTGTGGGGAGATCCTCATCGCGGAGGAAGAGGACACCGCCGGCAAGGCATCAGCCTTCCCTTGCACCGGCACGGAAAACCCGGGTTGACAGCACAGGGATCTGGATCCTGCAGCACCGGTACGAGGGCGCCCCAAGACCTACACGTCGGGCGCCGCATCCACCGCCCTCGGACGACCCGTGCAACCTGCCAGATGGCATCGTCCACCGAGGCGGAGTCCTCATCCAACCCTCCACAACGAGGTCACGGGAGGGCCAACTACTACGACCTGAGCGCATCACCGCCTCCTGAAAGGTCAGCGCGCGCCGTGTACTCAGGTCTGGCGGCCTTCAACCCGGACAGGGTGTACGAAGCTGAGCAGGTAAGCGTCAAACGACCTGCACCTGCCGGGCGCGACTCATCCACAGCACCCGCAACAAAATCCGCCCGTGTGGTTTGCCAAGCGGGAAAGCAAGGTCAAGCGCCCCCACAGAGCGTACTCGACCAGGCAGCTGCGGATCGCGCTGCGTCGAAGGCCATGCCCCCCCACCGCCGCTACGAGCACCACCCGCACCCCCAGCACCAGTGCCAAGGGCTGCAGCTCAACGCGCAGCGTCGGTCCCAAGAGTGGGGTAAAACGGCCTGAGACGCCGCCCAAAGCACACAAGCGGGCACCACCCTCACCGCCACCACAGGTGAGGTTCAAGGCTCCACCCGCGCCCAAGTTGCCGGTCAAGCAGCCACCAACCGCTGCAGCCAAGGGCCCTGTCCCCGGCGACGGGGCACAGTTCGGTGCGCCTGAGCAAGAGGCGAGGCAGCCCATCGTCGTCTGCCTGGACTGGCGCAACACCCTCGACATCTCGGTCGAGCCTGACGGTGCGCCAAAGGAGTGGCTGCTGAAGGTACTGTCCAAGTTGTACCGCAGCCACTACCCTATTCAATTCCGCATCGTCAGCTACTGCCAGGCCCGAGACACTCGGGAAAGCACCCTCCGGTTTGCCACCCAGTTTTCCGACGTGTGCAACAACGCCATTGACGGCTTGGGCACACTCCCGTTCGGAGAAGTTGTCCTGACGTGGAAACGGGTCGGACAATCAGGCAAGGCTGCAGCTTTAGCGCAGCTGGAGGCGTGCGCCATCGTGGACGACAACAACTCCGTCCTCAAGGAGTGCCGCACCGCAGGCGCCCTCGGCATAGGTGTCGGTCGGCGAGACGCCAATCGAGCGCTCTACGACGCGCTCGACGAGCTCCACGAGTACCTAAACCAGCACCGACGCCTACTCCGCCCTGCCAGGGTACTCGACCAAAACGAGTACCTTGAGGAAGTTGGCCGCCGCCCTCACTCTGCAAGGGGCGGCCACGGACTTTTTCGGTGACCTGGCAGTGCCGGAGGCTGCAGCTCAAGCGCAGCAAGCGCACGGTTTCCAACACCGGCTGTAACATAAGTTTGCCCAGGCCTCAGCTTGAAGCGCGGTGTGTCAGCATACGTGAGCCTGACCTTGTGTGAAAGGTGCATCCGACATGGCGTCAGGGATTTCCCCACCTTCGGATGATAGGTCAAGGTCAACACGTGGGGGAGATTGTAATGAGGAAGACCCTGAACTAGGGGATGTTTTGGTGCCCGCAATGAGGGCATCCTCATCAAGAGATGTTCGTAGCCGCGATCGCAACGCGACGCCTCCCCGTAGGACTCCCATTGTAGAGGAACCTGATTCAGACTCTACTGCAACCCCCCTTGTGTATAGCCCACAAGTGCCAGCACCCGAACCATCTAGGAACATGAGTGCTGCTGCGTTTGTGGCCGGATCGGCGCTGCAACGTGCACATCAAGCTTCGCTCATTGCTGATCAGGCTGCCAATGTTGCCCTTCACGAGCATCGAGCCGCGGACGAGGCCAGACAAAGGCTAGGGGAGGTTGCTGCTGTTGCGCAACAAAGGGAGCAGACCTTCAGACAACAGGCAACAGAACTGACATACCAAGCCCAGCAAGCAGTCGAACGAGCCTGTGCTCAGACCGCATTAGCTGAACAAGCTGCACAGCATTCTCAACAGGAAGCCCAAGGCCATGTTCAACAGGTGAGGCAGGAAGCTGAAGGCCATGTCCATCTGTTGAGACAGGAAGACGTAGGCCATGTTGAACGTGCTAGGCATGAAGCCCAACAAGCAAGGTCGGCCGCAGAAGCCGAAGTGTCCAGGTTGAGGCAGGAGGCTATTCAAGAAATTTCCTCACGGGAACAGAAGATCCTCCAGCAAAGCAAAGTGATAGATACATTAGGGAGTGAAAACCTTTTGTTGTCGCAACGCCTTGCTGACCTAGAAAGGGCTGTCGCATCCATGGCACAAAATGCCGGAACCGGATGAACGTCATGAAAGTCAAAATCCTACGGATCCCCGGTCATCGGGGCTAAATGACGTTGGACGTGACCTTCAGGTTGGATTACAGGCTCCCCAAGTTCAAGGGCCGAGTGATGCCACACGTGAGCAGTGTTTTTCCGAAGGATGCAGCTCTGGGAAGTTCAAGTAGCAACCCTAAGGTAGCTCCACGTGCCCCTGTTGGTTTCCGAAAATCCTTTGCTCCCCCACAGCCCGACATCAAGTCAGATGCCAAGCGTGTGCAAATCCAGGATGGTGATCCACGTGCACAACCACAAGGACCACCGGATGTCGCTCGGACTCAGGATGTAAGGGGACCTGTAGACGTACAGGCACAAATGTCCTCTTTAACTGAGCTCCATCAACTTTCAAAGTTAGTTGAGGCCCAGGTAGGGGTATCAGGGGCTTCGCCCCCGATCGCATCGGCTCAGGCACCCCCACCTTCCGTAGCTGCCTCCCCACGCTTAGGCTAACAAGTGCTAGTACAAGTCAAGTGGCTCAATTCCCATCCTCCCCAGAGCGACACATCCTCAGAATCTGGTGACGAGGGTCGTACCCCCTCATGCCGAGTCTGTGGTGGCCCGCATGATGATACCGCCTGCCCCTCCCTTTCCATGAGTGGGGGGCAGGGACAAGGTACTCAAGCAGCAGATGCAAGTGGTGGGGATGCTGCTACAAGCGCATCAGATCCGGCCTCATATGAGGAAACCGTGGTTCGCATCAAGGA